ATTACATACATATATATATATATATATATATATATATATATATATAAAAACTCAAATAAAATAAAAATGACAAAAAACAAAATGACCAAAACATTAACTAAAATGAAAATGAAAACAGTAAAAATACACTAATTCAAAACATTAATAAATTAAAAACAATATTTTTATATAAATATTATGACAGTTTATTTCAGTTTATTTTTAATTTCAAAAAGTGTGGTAAAATCTATTTTTAATTACTATTTGAGGCATTGTTGTTATTGTTAACAAACTATTAAAAATCATGTTTAGTAATGGAAATAAAACTGAAATAAAATAAACATTACATGAAAAACTTAAATTTAAACAAAAATTAGAAGTTGAAGTAATACAATTACTAAAACTGAAATAAAAATAAATGAATGCTTTTTATATAAATAAAATGAAAAATGCACACAACAAAATTACTAAAACTTAAAAATGAAAATCTAAAAATAAAAGCTAATTCAAAATAATAATGAATACTATATTTGTGTATAAATAATATTAAAATAACATCATTTTGAGGTTATTTATAATAGGGATACGTGCGATACTGACTTAAATTTGGGGCAATACAAGGTTTTAGGAGGCGGCATAGAGTTAATGAAAATAAAATGAGATTTTAGGTTTTGTATCAGAGCATATTCAGTACTTCAGACATGCGCGCACACACACACACGTATTCACATACAGTACACACATGTTTGTGCTTTTGAAGAAAGAAGCAGCAGACAGACAGAAAGTACAGTGGAGCAGGAGAAGACATCATTTTGACAAGGTTTTATTTTATGATTTGTTGGGGTTAGTTTTATCCCTCGATTTTTAGATTTATTTGGGTTAGTTCGATTACAGTCACTAACAATTAAACAACTGGGGAGTGAGCGTAGATCAGACAACATACTAAATGTGTTTCGTGTCTTTATTATGTTATAATATTCTGAGTGAAATTGTATGGCTATACGGTATATTGTGTGATTTGTGTACGTCATATCTGTTTTGTATGGTATATTACTGTCCATATAAAAGAGTGTGTGTTTTTCTTCAGCAGCTTTCATCAGTTGTAATATAAAGAGTGTGTTTTGGTGAGTTTGTAATAGTGAGTTGTGTAACTGATCTGGACCCAGGACCCAGTCTCTGTGAAAGTGAATTGACGTGGTGGAAAACATAATCATTAATACAGGATTTTTGTACATAATACAATAGCTCTAAAAACCTGTTCAAATAAGGCCACACAGACAAACAGGAGAGAGAATTTGACATGTGACACTGATATAAATGCCATGTCTGGATACATATATACACACATCAAACAGCCGTTTGTTTAAATGTAACCACTCAATAGAAACTGCTGATCTTTTTATTTACAGTGGCACTTTACTCATGGCTCTGTAAAAGTAAGTAAACACGTGTAAAGTAAACAATAAAACTACAAATTCAATTAAACTACCTTTCAAAAGTTTGGGGAAAGATTTTTAAATTAATTAAATAATACTTTTATTAAACAAAGATGCATTAAATTGATCAAAAGTGACAGTAAAGACCAGATTTAAACTTTAAATAAATACTATTCTTTTGAACATTCTATACACCATAGAATTCTGAAAAAAAAAAACGTATCAGTGTTTCTGCAAAAATATTAAACAGCACAACTGTTTTTAACATTGATAATAGTAAGAAAAGTTTTTTTTTGAGGACCAAATCAGCATATTAGAATCATTTTGGAAGGATCACGTTACACTGAAGACTGCTGAAAATTCAGCTTTGCCGTCACAGAAATAACATGGATTAAAATAGAAAACAGTTATTTTAAATTGTAATAATATTTCACAATATTTTTACTGTATTTTTGATCAAATAAATGCAGACTTAAGTGAGTATAAGGATGTGCATGCCTTTAGTGTATGATTTTATTTTCTTGGAGCTCAACAGAACCAACAGAATAAAATAAATGCAAATGAATATTTAAATAATTTGACAGATTTAATTTAAGTATATGTGTACTGAATATACTGCGCTTGTTTATGGCCATTTTGTCCATTCTATGAGTGATTTTCAAGCAGTGCCGTAGGTCCTAGGGTATTTTGAGGAAAATGTTTCAATCAATTTTGTAAATAAGTCATAATAATGTCTATGCTTTGGATTCAGGATCCTGCTTTTAAGAATTAGTTTTACCCATTTCATGACATTAACAGCTGTGTTTGATGTCTGTACATCTGATGAACCCGACCACAACGTCTGAAACATTGTGATAGAGACCGAACAGACTAAGGATGCTGCTGGTCGAGAGTAAAGCTGTCCGCCGTCGCTCTGAAGAGGTGCTCATTCAGATTCAGATCAGTTGAACCTTCTCTCAAGTGCTTAAACTGTCTGATATATAAAACCCTGATTGTGGATCTCTTGGCATAAACTCACAGAGGACAAATTAAATGTGAGAGCCTCTTCAGAGCATGATGGGAAGGCAGCCCTGATCTGGACCAAACACAAACAACACACACATACGCATCTACATAGACAGAAGATGAACGCCGTGAGCCAAACGAAATGCACGGCAGCGGAAGCAGCAGACAGAATAGGATATATACGAAGCTGTGGGGTCAAAGGTCAAAGACATGAAGGTATTGCCGACAGACACGGAGACAGGAACCGAACTCCACATGCATGCCAATGCTCGCTCATTCTGAGGAATAAGGGGGTTGTACCTGGAACAGAGTCCCGCACGGATGGGCGGAGGCGTCGGGGGCATGTCTTTGAGGCGTTCCCACAGGGGATGGGACTCCTGATGTGGATGCAGAGCGACCAAGTTTACACCCGGCTTTTGTTTCTAAAATGTAAGAGAATATGTTGAATAATTCATCTATGTTAACGAAATATCTAAAATGAACATCCTTATTCGTTTCTTATGGATAGGACGGACCTCCAAGCATGGTGGTCGGGCTAATGGAGGAGCGGCCAAAGCGACTGGGCGTGGCTGATTGTCCTGTGGGCGTTTCCCAATCCTGTGATTTCGGAGAAGAGCTACGAAGGGCTCTGTCCCTGCTGTCACTTCTGCCTTTACTTTCACCTAGAAGAGAGAAAAAGAGGTAGAGATTTCAGTATGCAGTATAAGTCTTCAGTTCTCAGTTTTTATGAGAATGATTTTGCCGATTCACTTATGAGTGCTTTAATTTATAATAGTGCTGCAGTACATATATATTACCTCTAGGTGTCACAAAAGAGGCAACACAACTTAGTATCTTATTACTATTTCTGCAGTATACAGTATGTATACTGTGCAATGTGTGCGTCATTTTTGAGATACTAAATTACAGATGTTTTTCACATTTACCTATGCTCAAACAACATTTCTTTGTTATTATCCTCCATTCTTTCATCTTCAATACAGTCAATCCCTTTATCTTTGTATTTTTTCCATTCCATCCCTCTCCTAATCTCTCTCCCCTCACAGGGGCTCCATTAGCAGACACATTCATCACGTCTTTCACTGGCTCTAAAGACATTAGGGAAATTGCTTTACTAACAGATGAAAGCTTTTCAATTATTTCAGCTGGCAAGAGTATCTGAATGCGTGTCCGTATCGTCCATATAGACGTGTGCTTAGCTATATCGTCTGACACTTATGGGTGTATGAATTGAAGGTGAAATCAGTGTATGTCATCAGTGTGTGTGTGTGTGTGGCAACTGAAGCCTTATGCTTATAAAAGGCATGAGCTATTTCAGTTCATTTCAGTTCATGCAGCATTGCATCTAGGGTTGCGAAACAGAATTGTGCCATGCTGTTTCATAGCGATTGCATCTTAAATTCATTTTAGCACCTAATTCAGTTTAGGAATATCTATCTTTTCTACACGCACACAGTGCCTTTTTTTTTATTTGTGAACCGTAAATTGGTTCCATTGAATAAAAGAAACTAGAAAACCAATTGATGTTCTGTTCTGTTGAATCTACAGCGCAAAACAGACCGCATGACCGGTGTAGACTCTTATTAGCCAGTTATTTTTAGAGAGTCAAAGTAGTGCTTGGTGGTATACCGGTTCATACCGAATACCAGTGTTTATTTTTGTTTTGATATGAATTTTTAAAATACAGGCAATACAGGTATGTCGCTTAAACAACGTTCGGAACGCGACACTATTTGAAAGTGGTCCCTTTTCACTGTTGCACTGTGGTGAGGGAACAGCTGTATGTGTTACTAAGCGTGAAAGTTCCGAAACTGAAGCTGTAGAACTAATAGAACGTGATGTCACAGAAGAACTCATCCACAATATCCACACTGACCTCCACAAATATCCACCGCCCCCTGCCATCAACTCCCACGTCTCACACATGAGCGCGACTTTAGCACTAGATTTAGCAACTTTCAGACCCTTTTAGTGGCTTTTTTTCCATAGAATATTCATACTGACAAACCTAGCGACTTTTTTGTATAAACCTTAGCTATGGTTCAGTTGGAAGATTTTGCCAGTGCTGTCCCGCGAACGCGAGGTCTGACTTTCCCGGAGAAGTGTCACCTCTCTCGGCGTCTGTTCTGTGCAGTGAGTGGCAGAGAAGCAGTGCATTCAGTTGGCCGCACCGCAGCCGACTCGTCAATAAATGAGTACAAAACAGCGTTTCCTAGCACCTGTCGCTTACTGATTGTTTAGAATTATAAATATGAGCGTAGTTCGTCTGTTAATATCACATGCACTTTTTTGTTTGTTGTTTTTTTTAGTTTGTTACTCAGACGCAGGCCGTGCGCTGCATGAGACAAAAAAGTAATATACTGTAGCCAATACAACAACATAGCCGCTCTTTAGTGTAGATGCATGTTGATTTTATCAGACGATGCCGCGATTATAAATGAGTGACTCCTGGTTAACATGTATTAAAAGGGGTCGTGTTTAGTCACTATTTAGTGTGGTATTTTTTGGCAATATTCACTCATCATGACAGTAAAATAGGGCATTCTAAGTCAATATACTGCAGTATTTCCTCTCTCAATCAGTAGAAAATATGGTTAACACCTGGTCATGCATGAAAAAAAATACCGTCATGTACCGTGAAACCAGTATAATTTTGAAAAATCCTGGTGCAACCAGTGTAGTCCGAAACCTGAACAAATAATTATTATGTGCCCATTCTTTTTAGTGAATCATAAACATATAGTATGGTACAACCAATGTCGTCTGATTCCCAAATTAATGACTCAGATTAATGACTCAGTTCTTTTTAGTGAATCAAACAGATACAGTACAGAGCAACCAGTCTGACTGCTGAATTAATGACTTGTATAAGCCGATTCTTTTTAGTGAATTATAAACAATAGCATACAGAATTCGCAACCAGTGTAGTCTGATTCTCGAATTATTTACTGTTATGAGTCAGTTCTTTTAGTGAATCAAAAAACATAGTATGGCGCAACCAGTGTAGTCCCACTCCTGAACAAATGTTTCTTATGAACCGATTATTTTTAGGGAATCATAAACATATAGTCTGGCACAACCAGTGTAGTCTGATTCCTGATTTAATAAGTCTTACAAGTCAGTTCTTTTTTGTGAATCATAAACATACAGTACGGAGCAACCAGTGTAGTCCGATTTCTGAAAGAATTTATGAATTTATGAACACTTATAAGCGGTACCATTTAGTGAATTAAACTACCTGTAAATAGTATTTCTGTTTTTTTCTTATGACAATGCATAGGTAAAGATTATATATTGTCTATTTTGTAAGTAGTTTTAGCTTTTTTTTTATTTGTCATGAAAAATGTTTTAAAAATGTAGTATGTCTGTGTGTGTGTGTGTGTGTGTGTGTGTATATGCATCATTTTTTTTTGTAAAGAAAATACACATTTTTATGAAAGAAATAGAGTGTCCCTTATAGGCCTCTGTTGACATTGGCAATGCTAGTTTATTTTGTATTCTAGTCTCACATTAGCTACTCAAACACCTTATTTACTGTACTTTATCTTTCTGGAAACACACACACACACACACACACACATATGTTGAAATCCCATTAGTCTGTGGTGCCCTGCTCCATTAGTCTATATTTAATTAGTGTCCACTGTCATTAGCGTTGGGCGCTAATGCTAAGACTGCAACAAATTTATAATATTTACTTATTAACATGTGCACCATTACTGCCTGGATATAGTCAGTCTGTGTGTGTGTGTGTGTGTGTGTGTGTGAGAATGTGAGTCCATTAGCAGAGGAAATTTTAGGTGTGTGTGTGTGTGTGTTGGCAGGACTGTGTTCTTGTTAGTGTTCACAGGGTCAGATTGTTCTACAAGGCTTCTCAGCTAACAGCAGCCAACATAGGAACATGTTCTCCTCATCCAGTTAGAGTGAAATGCCATGCCAAATACCTTTTGACACTTAGAGGTAATGGACACAAACAACACCACTGAAACAAGACTAGGCACAGCAGGAGCCAAACAAGAAACAAGTTGTAGTTTATCTCCCAGGTCAGCTCTTGTTTTGGGATCTAAAGTTCAGCAGCCGATTGCACAAAACCTCTTGGTTCAAGACAAAATTTAGCTATAATTTGTTTATAATTACAGCTAAGGGATTTCTTAGTTTAAGGGATTTGTTGCAATCAGGCCCAGAGGTGGGGAGAAACAGATGAGTATGGAAGCCCATTTCAGTCTCAGAGTAAAAAAACAACAACAAGGTAATTATGTGATTAAAGTTTTAAAATAAGACAGTCATAATGTGAGATATAAAGTTGCATTAGTGGAGTTTAAAGCTCCATTGCTAGATATAAAGTCAAACTGTGAGATATAAAATCGCAATTATGAGAAAACAAAGTAGCAATTGTGACAAAGTTACAACTGGGAGGAATAAAGTTGTGAAGTTGCAATTACCCTTTATTTAGTTAGTTAGTTTTTACAGTGAGGTAAAAAAGGCTTCCATAGATGAGACTGAAACCGCTACTAGGACAAGTAGCTGTGGAAGTGATGGAAAGTGATGGAGGTATGGAATTAAAATAAATAGAAAATTTGCAAAAGCACATGCACAGCTATAAACAATTATGCTTAACACATGCATAATTAAGTCTTCATAGAACTTCTTCAGCATGTACTATATCAACATGCAGTGGCTTGGATTAAAACAAGCTCGCTTGGATTAAAAATTATATTTTATATATTTATATTATACATATATATATTTTAGTTTTTAATAGTTTTTATTTAATATATTTTTTTAATATATTTTTTCAATATAAATATTTTTCAATATAATTATTTTAATTCATTAATAAATTAATATATATATATATGTGTGTGTGTGTATGTACATACATACAACTATATTTTGTATAATATAAAATTAAATTTCTAAAATTGATTTCTTTGTGAGTAATGTAGCCTATGTAGTGAAATCAATGCCGAAGCAATATCTTGAGCAAGATCTCTTCTCAATCATATTCTCTGTTTCCAGCCTGACAGCTAACCTGATCTGCCACTATGTTCATGTTACTCATATCAGCTCTCTATGTCACAGCAGGGCATAATGTAAGCACTTCTGTGCCTTTAAATTATGCTAATATATGCCAACCTCAGAGCCATAATGATGAGGAAATATATTAAATGTGTTGGATCGTTATTAGTATATGCTAATGTAACCTTAGAGTATGTAAAGCTACTCAGACACTTAATTTTAGAAACTATTAAGCTCTTCAATGCTTCAGGAAAAGCACTATTACATTTAAATACAGCTGCATACATTAAGGCGTAACAGGAGACTGCACTCTGTTAAGGGATATTTAGAACTATTTATGGGCACTGTAGGGCATAATAAAAACAAACTCATATCACATTTAAATTAGACTGATCCTTAAGACAGATTAATGCACAAACTTCATTGCGTGCCACTTGACACTGGCACATGTTCAGACTCTATATGTCTTTCTGGCGCCGAATGGAGTTGCAGTAGAATTCCCTAACAGGATTTGGACCAGGTTAACTGTCCTGAACAGGAAGAGCTCAGTCATTGATTGTTTTATCCCTTTAATGGGTAGATCTGAAAATACCTATTTACAGCCCAAGCGTGAAGTTTAAGTAAGACTGACTTTGTAGCTTTCAATATGGGA